TCCCCCTTGCCGGCGGGCGGGGGCAGCATTCGCCCCCCAACTCACACTGCACCGTACCGACCCCTCATGATCCCTAACCGGAATTTGATCTTGCCCAGGAGGTAAACCCTGGGGTTCCACACCAATGACAGAGTCATTGCCTCTGGGCCAAAGCGCTACTGAAACTAATTATACACCTTTGAGATTTATGTCTTTTTTTTGGGGGGTGTACTGCATGAACCTCTTTTCTGACAAAAGTTTTGTTGCTCAAATACATTTTGTGACTAAATCTAATACATATAAATGTCAGCATATGCCTGATGCATATCTGCACATTTATTGAAAACATGGTGTTGAAAGAGGAGAATTGATTTTATGCTGTGAGGTTTGCTATGTATATTTGCACTCACCAACAAAAAGGCTGGAAATCAGTGAATTTGGCCCAACCTTTCTCCTCCGCATCAGCGGCAGCTGGTTGGGTGACTGGATTGTCCCAAGCTGAAAAGTCATATCCAGCATCTGGAGCCTTTAAGTTTGTATCTGCAAAGTCCGCAACCCAGCCAGTGGCTGTATGAAGCACAGCACAACACACCGTGTTATTTTAAGAGGAACATGCAAAGCAAAAAAAAAAAAATTCAAATTATCTATAGTAAACTATACTCTGTTTAATGATAGTAATATCTGTATTCCTATAAATGACATTCATTTTTTTTTTTTTTTTTGTCCTCCACATGTGCATCGCACTCAGTCCTGCCCTAATCTTACCACGGTCTAAGAAAGGATCAGCTCCTTCCTTTCGTTCCTCTTCTTTCTCTGAATCTGAGCATGCTGCTCTGACAGAGGCTTCGTTTCCAGACAGGACTGTCTGGTCAGGGGTCTTAATGGCACCTTGGCATTGAGAGGATTGTGAACCGCCGAACCTTGAACAAGAACAAGACATTTTATTTTTGCCCGACCCGACCCGACCCGAATGAGGACATTTTACAACAATGTCAACACATGTTAGCATACCTGTTTCTGGACTTGGTCTGTGTTGCATAGTTAATCTTTTTGTCCTCCCATATGTCCTCCTCACTATCGTCAAAGGGCAGAATCTTCTCCTTGCAACAAGCCCTAAAAACGTCTGTGTTAGCCTGTCGTTGATAAAGAGACTTGAAATGTATGATCTACACAGCGGCCATTGATTCTGACTGAGGATGCTAGTAAGGCAGTAGGCTCTCTATCTATTTATCTAGCTCTCTATCTCTCTATCTATCTAGCTAGCTATCTAGCTCTTTATCTATCTAGCTAGCTAGCTCTCTAGCTATCTATCTAGCTATCTCTCTAGCTATCTATCTAGCTCTCTATCTAGCTAGCTATCTAGCTCTCTAGCTATCTAGCTCTCTAGCTCTCTATCTAGCTAGCTATCTAGCTCTCTAGCTATCTAGCTCTCTAGCTCTCTATCTAGCTAGCTATCTAGCTCTCTATCTATCTAGCTATCTAGCTCTCTATCTATCTATCTATCTATCTATCTATCTAGCTATCTATCTATCTAGCTCTCTATCTAGCTAGCTATCTAGCTCTCTATCTATCTATCCATCTATCTATCTATCTATCTAGCTATCTATCTATCTATCTATCCATCTATCTATCTATCTATCTAGCTATCTAGCTACCACGCAAGCTAAATGTTAGCTTTCAGTTCACATTAAACAGTCATTTATTATTATTATTAATAATAATAATAATAAAAAACAATTTTAGTTTCATTTACTCGAAAGCTGGAACAGTTTAGATGAACACAATACTGATGTAATTGCAGGAAGACACAAACAAAGATTTTCTTTAACTCAGAGTCCCTCTCTTTTTTATGTTTTTATGAAAGTTATGCTTCACGTGCCAAGCTCATGCGCTTACTAGCAGTAAATTAATAAAACTTGTGAAAATGTATACTTTATATATATATTAAAATATATAATTTCACGTTTGTTATTTTCACATTGACAGCCGCTAGAGGGCACTCTAGCTGGTCGGTGTGACATATTCCGGAGCGACTCATACTGTATATGTTTGTTCATCATTATGCATTTTTTGGCTGGTGCAACTAATACAGTACCTGTGTAAGTTCTTAGATATACCAAAAATCAAACATGTAATGTAAAAATGTGAACTCACACTGTCCTGGCTTGACTTAATGTTGATATTTATTTCTGCAATCTGGTCAAATGTTGCTCTGAAAAAAAAAAAAAACCAACAAAAAAACACACAATTAACAACATTAAGGGCAACATTATATTAAAATATGAAAATGTCGATTTGTTTTCCTACACAATGCTGTCATCGTGCTCGGTAAACTCCTCATCGTTGAAGCCAAACTGATCCACGAAGTTTGCCGTCATCTGTTGAATCTGGTAGTCTGAAAATGCCTGAAATGAACACAACGACGTTCAGTGACCTTACTGTACTTAAACTCAAAATGTGAAATGTTGTGTGTATTTTTATGTGTACTGTGTACCTGCTGTAGTGTCAGCTCTTTAGGAAAAGGGCTCTCCATATCGTCCTCTGAGGAAGAACGAGGATTTCCTGTTCCAATCTGTGCAGGACAACCACCACAGCTAAATAACTAATGTTTCAAAATTGATTCTAAACTGAGGTGATATTATGTATTGCATAATGCAATTGCGTAAACTTGCATTTACCCATAGAGTTCTCTGTATTTGATGTGCAGTCCAAGGCTGTTATTCATCGATGAAATGTATCACATAATAACGCGAACGTACCCACAGATTACAGTGTAGCACTTTGTCAGCATGAACTGGAGTTTCAATTTTAAATTAGACAGTTCTCAACTCGACTCTTTTCTTATCTCTCTGGCACTTCCACCAAAAAACATTTTTATCTTCGCTAACTTCTATCACCGTCATTGGCATACTTGATTAACTGTCATAGCACACTACTGTACCGTGGAATCACTGATCTCCAATATGTACGTTAATTGGCATTCATGGCGATGTACTCAGATAGATAGCTAGCTAGCTAGCTAGCTAGCTAGTAGATAGATAGATAGCTAGATAGCTTGATAGCTAGCTAGCTAGATAGATAGCTAGATAAATAGATAGATAGCTAGATAGCTAAATAGTTAGCTAGATAGATAGATAGCTAGATAGCTTGATAGCTAGATAGATAGATAGCTTGATAGCTAGCTAGCTAGATAGATAGATAGCTTGATAGCTAGCTAGCTAGATAGATAGATAGCTTGATAGCTAGATAGATAGCTTGATAGCTAAATAGCTAGATAGATAGCTAGATAAATAGATAGATAGCTAGATAGATAGCTAGCTAGATAGCTTGATAGCTAGCTAGATAGATAGTAGCTGTTATTCATCGATGAAATGTATCACATAATAACGCGAACGTACCCACAGATTACAGTGTAGCACCTTATCAGCATGAACTGGAATTTCAATATTAAATTAGACAGTTCTCAACTCAACTCTTTTCTTATCTCTCCGGCACTTCCACTAAAAAAAACATTTTTATCTTCGCTAACTTCATTTATTTGTATCTAAATGTGCAGAACCCAGACATGGACAAACTAAAGTTTCGCAGGACTAAGGGTCCCGGATGCGGCTCGTTCAGCTTTTTAATCCGATAATACTCACATATCCCCAATAGGTGGCGTAGAAAATGATTAAAGCATTTTAGCATTTTAGCCTTTACGCATGACTTACACATGTCATTTTTCTTAGTTCACATGAATGCACCATCTATCTGCGACGCCTTTTTTTTTACCTATTTGTATTTGCTAACAAGACAGTGGGAAGAAAAAATGATTTCCCAGAAGAACTTAATTGTTTCCAGGACACTTTTTCCACAATTGTTTTCCATGGCTGGAAACTGGTCAATAATTTTCCAGATTTTCCAAGGGAACCCTGACATTCTATTTTTTGAACCCAAATAAAAATTCACCTCTTTCACATCCGTGCAGTACCCCTCTTGATTTTATCCAACTACTTTTCCCTGCTTGTCGTTGATCAGAAAATTAAAAAAAAAAGAAAAAAAAATTAAAACCAATTTTCTTCTGTGTCTGCTCTCGAGTATGTAAATAAATAATTGAAATAGATTAAAAATTAAAAAAAAGAAGTTTTTTTTAAATTATCCCAGGATTTTTTTAGATTAATGTTGTGTTCAAATTATATTATTATTCTTGTGTTAGAAATCACAAATGTGGATGTGTGTTTACCAGGTCTATGCTATTCTTCCTATTGGTCTCTGACAAGGTTAGGTCCACAAAGGTTTCCCATTTTTTTCGACAGTCCTCTGGTAGCTCTAAGTACAAAAAAAAAAAAACACAACAAGTTAATTATACGTTAACACCTCACTTTCTTAATGTTAGTTTCGTCGCGCTTATTTGCATCTACACAGACCTGCAATAAGGCCACTTATCTGCATGTGAATGAGCCCCTTCTCCAGATTGTGGACAACCGTATTAGCAATTCTGGTCAGATGTCCCATATACCCTCTCCTCATACCACCCTCTGATCTAAATACAGATAAAACACACATTAGTGTAGAAAAAAAAAAAACTTCGACCCATACACCAAAATGTAACATTGGTTCCTCTTACTGTGTTTTATCATTCTCTTCCCAGGCCGTTAGAATCCTCTGGACAAGGTGACAGTGTTGGAACAACTGAGGTAAGACAACAAGTTTTGAATCAGAGACTGACCCGGCTGATCTCACACACACGTGTCATTTTTTTGGTCACAAAGAGGCTTACATAAGTCACCATTAGGTTATACTCAGAGTTTTCAGACACAATTGAGGATTCAGATGCGGGCTTCTGAGATAGCTGTGCTGGTGACGTATCCTGTGACGGAGGGATGTCCTCCTGGGATGCCACAGCGGACTGAAACCCCATTTCGTGGACACAAGGCCGGAGAATGGCTGCAACACAAAGCTCCACTTGGAGGTGCAGGAAGTTGTTCCATGTGTACTTAAAAAACAGGTCCTGGAAAAAAAAAAAAAAAAAAAGGCAAATGAATCTACAGTTTAGAGCAAATTGAATTACCCTAAGAACATCACTTGGAAAAATTAGGTTCACAGAAATTTAACAAAGGGATTCCTAAATATTTAAAACAAGAAATCTCTCGTTTCTGGGCAAATCCCTTAATGTTTTGCCTGAACCTTAAAATGCGATAGAAACCATCGTCATAATTATTTAAGTTTTAATTGACTTCAGACTGAGACTGTCACGTCATGCACTTTGTTAGATTCAATACTGTGTTCCAGTGATGTTCCATACCACCAATTTCCTTTCCGATCCGATACCGAGTAAAATTAGGGCTGGTATCGCCGATACCGATATCGATACCGATATTTTATCGGTATTTCAAATTATAGCTTCTTTAAGAATCCAAGGCAGAGTTTATTTATTTATTTATTCATTTTAAACTCTGGAGTGTACCAGTGTACTCTGGAGAATAAGCATTTGATAGTCTTTATTTTTTTACATTTCTAATTCATTATTCACCAAAACATGTTATTTGTAAAACTAAAATAAATAAAATAAATAATCTGAGGAGCCATTTGGGACCCGAAAGAGTCAGATTTTTTCAGTGAACCGAGCCAAAAGAACCGGTTCTCTAAAAAAAAAAAAAAAGAGCCGAAATTCCCATCAATAGTGACTGAGTGAGAGCACAGAGTAGAGCCTCCTGTGCTTACGCATACACACACCCAGGCGGAAGAAGAAGTAGTCCCACCAACCTAACGTCACTTAGACAACATCTCAATCATTTGGATACTTTTCACCATGTTTCTGTTTAGGATACACCTCATCTCAGAATGCGTAAGTATCAAAAGTATCGATATTTTGATTTCAGAATCGATTTCAGAGCATAAAGATCCAGAATCGGAAGTATCGATATTTCAGGATCGATCCGCACATCACTACTGTGTTCTTTGACCTTCCAACGACATCACTCAAACCGCTAACGTAACTGTGGGACGGATAGAAGGCCTTGATATATTAGCTTGATGGGAGAGTCCGATTGGTTAGAGAAATAATTTTCTTGCCAATCATTTTAGACTCCCCAAAAAAATTCCTTTATCCTGGCAACACATGAACCTGAAAAATCCTTAGGTATACGCGACGGTAAGCAGCGCAACCAACAGGAAAAAGCGAGCGAGAATGAATGATGAGAACAGACTACTCCGTACTAGTCACTGATATGTGATAAAGTATAATGGTTTTAAGTCCACTAACCAGAAGCAGATTCATCGTATCAAGTCTGCAAAGTTCCTGGGCTATTACTGCATGGCTCGCAGAGCTGGTGTAGAGCAGAGACGCAACTAGTCTGGCTACATGCAGGCGTGTGTTTCCCAGTGGTTCCTTCAAGACTCCCATGGTGGTCAGCATTGATCCTTTCTAATTGCGTACACAGGAAAAAAGAGAGAACTTTAGGAATTTGTAGTTTGGAGTAATAATAGACCAAAAAATAAATACTGTATTTTCCGGACTGTGAGTCGCTGCGAACAAAAAATGCATAATGAAGTAGAAAAAAAAACAACAAACATATACAAGTTGCTCGGGACTATAAGTCGAACTAGTGCCCTCTGGCGGCTGTCGCTGCAAAAATAACAAACAATGTAAATTTTCAGTGGTACAGGAGTAAAAGTTACTGACACACAAGCCTAGAGTGCCCTCTAGTGTCTGTCAATGTGAAAATAACAAACGTGAAATTATAACATTTAAAATACGGTAAATTATAGAAACATTTTACAGTAATCTTTTAATGTTATAAGTAATCTTACATTAAAACCTATTTTTTTAATCTTCTTTAATCTTTCAGTATTAATGGTTTGACTATTTTAAGATTTTTTTTATGATTTAAATGTTAGTTTTTTTTTTGTATTTTTTCCCTTCGGGAAATTAAGGCTCCAGCAGCAGTACAGCACCAAAGGCAACAGTAAAAACACACAGATGAGTACAGTACAACAAACACAACAAAATACAAAAGCCTGAACAGTGGTTAGTAGATCAGATTAGTAGGTTAGTAGTCGTAGATAGATAGGTTAGTGTTAGTAGTGTTAGTAGATTAGTTGATAATTATTGTTGCTGTCTGTGATGTTGTAGACTATATATACATATAAATGCATATATATGCATATATATATATATATATATATATATACATATATATGCATATATATACATATATACATATATACATATATATGTATACATATATACATACATATATATACATATATATACATATATAATATAATATATATATATAATACATAAAATAATACATAACGTTTTAGGACCTGCAAAGTAATACGCTGTAGGTAACGAATGGAAGTTAAGACTTTTAAATGATATCGATGATTGTAGTTGCTTTTAGATCTCACTGTGTATGTGTATTTTCTGTTTAATTGCGGGTGTTTTGGCCGTGAAGCAAGATAATAGAAATAAAAAATAAATAATATTTTTGACTAATTGTTATTCCTGTCCGGTGCACACAGCCTGGGCTGCAACACTGATCTATATTTTAACAGGAACTCAGACACAGAGTATAGGCTGATTTTGTGTTTTGTTTTCTGTACTCAGTAGTATATTTAAAAAATATATATTCTGTACCTTAGGTGGCTCCAGAAGTAGGTGGTGAAAGTCTGCAAGATTTGGTTGGATAGCCAACAAAATGTTGCTGTTAACCATATAACTTCTTTCAAATCCCTGACCATCCAATATACCATCCACCCTGTGAATAAACACGAGGGAATGTTAACGACACTAAGTAGAGAGACACATTTTAAAACAATACAACCCCAAAAAACAAAATAAAAACATTTTCTAGTGTGCTAATATTGTATATATTATATTTTGTTTTGTTAATGAAACATTTAAACTAGCAGGGAGTTTTTAATGCTGCAAACCACCATTTATTATAGTTAGCCATGGCAATAAAATGTAGCAGGATCACATGGTCAAATAATAATAATTTTATAAAAAGTAAATATTAAAATCCCCAATATATGGTCTAGCCCAGGCATGGGCAAACTAAGGCCCAGGTGGCGATTGTGGCCCGCATTTTAATCGGCCTGCCAAATTATATAATTTCTTTATATTATCATTATACGTCTGCCTTTTCCCTGCAATACCGACGTTTCCCCAACAGATGGCGTCGAAAATGACAAAAGCATTTTAGCATTCATTATACCCTTTATGCATGACTTTTACATGTTATTTATCTTTAGCAATTTATTTATCAATTTTTAGGACAATTGTCGGTGCGAATCTAAAAGTCTGCCCCATTTTATGGGCTATTACAAAACATTACATTTTTATTTTGATTCTTTCACTTACACAGGCCTCCTTATTTCCAGCAAGGTGAGAAGTACTTGGATACCGTTTACAATGCAGCTCTCAGTCCTCTCTCCCGAAAACATATTTTGCAGCAATTGCTGCACACATTCCTGGCTGGAGAAATAGAAATGAAATATATATCAAAGTCAAAGTCATCCTTTGTAAAATTGTGAACGTGTGTTCAATTCTGAAAGTACACAGGTGCGTCCGACTCACGACTCGACCACAGTAAGCAAAGGGTCAGGCTGTGAGAGTTCTTGAAGCTGATTGGCCTGGTCTCTGCTTAGACGAATGATGTCACACAAAGTTTGAGACGCATTGGATTGTCTCTGGGAGAGAGAGAAAAAAAAAAAAGCACCTTAGACTTGGACTTTATTTACATAATAAATCTTAACAGTGGTTATTTGATCAAAAGTCAGCAGAAAAATCATTTGGAAGAATCGCGTGCAAAGGTTCTGATTCAATAATCTACTCTGTATTTATGATGTGCAGTTTTGATACAGGTTACTTTACCCATTTTTATAACAATAATATAAAATGTTTTCTTAATTATTATTATTTCATATTATCAATATATTTGTTTATATCTATGTTTTTAATGTTTAAATAGGCAGAGGAATTTTAATTTAATCAATTCATATACATATACATTTGTATATTTCTGGGGGGCTGGAATGAATGAATTGCTTTTTAGTTTTTAATGGGGGAAAATGCAATCGAGACACGAGTGAATCGACATACTGTACGAGTGCTGTTGTGGAACGGATTCAACTTGTATCTTGAAGCCCTACTGTGCAGCCGTTTATCCCCAAAATTATATTTTTATTATATTTTTTAAGGCATCATTTGGTGAAACCCAGGCATTGCATTATGGGGTCTTAATTATCAGAGGCAAAAAAGATATTGATTCCTACAGGTATTCCATAATTTAGCTAATAAAAGCCGACTGATATTATCGGACATCCCTAACATATATATGCACAAAATATGTACATAAAACATACATCAATACTTAGTGATACCTACAGTTACTCAATGTATGCAAAGATATATGAAAAAACAATTATAACACAATACTGCATAAGGTAACTTTTGTGGCATCAAGGTGTATTTCGCACATCACAGAAATTCATTTTATGTGTTCGGTACAAAAGACAATCTATTTCACAAAAAGAAAAGGCTCAATTGCCTCTTTAAGGAACATTTTACATTACATTTTAGATTAGCCTTACTTGGCGCTAGCTTCAGTTGCCATCAGATCCATTAATTAATTTGTCTTCAGCTATAGTGGATAAATGGTTAGATAAGGGTATGGCTAAAGGGATGTACTGTATGGATGTGACCCCCTTACCTCTTCATCTCTCTCCGGGTGAATTAGTTCAATAAGCCTCTGGGCCAGCTTTTCCTTATTCAGCCACTGTTGTTGAAAAAAT